TGAGTCAGTAGGTCCTTCCTCAGAGGAATCGGCCAAGGAGGGGCTGTCGCGAGGAGCGCTAGCTCGGGGAACCAGGTCCGAGTGGGCCAATACGGCCTAGACTTGCAAGACTTGCTCCTCATCCTCCCGGACTTTGCACAGTGTCTGTGCGAGAAAGCTCACTGGGGGAAATGCATACTTGCGTAGAAAAATAACATTCCCTAACACTAAAGTTACGCTACCTTCTCAACTTCATGCCTGTTTTCTCTGGCTTTTCCTCAAGCTAGTGATGCCAAGTCCAGGTTTGACAGGTTTATTTTTACCTGCCTGGAAAATGGGATAAAATGTGCCTTCACACCTTAAGTTATAAGCTTCATATCCTCTTTCTTGCGGCAGGTGCCCTACAGTAGATTCAAGATGCTTACATGAAATAGCCTGCAACAGTTGAGAAAGATTTTCCTGCAAAAGAACTGCTTCCTACGAAGCCATATTTTGTAACGGGAAAGCAAGACAATTTAATTTCTCCAGTATTTTGGTTAGAGTGAAATTTCTACAAAAGAACCAGCTTCTCTACAATTCAACAAGTCGTTCTCTATTCAAAAATCATTAGAATGAGGGGTTGAAAGGGCATAATTTTCGATCACAGTGGGCGTTGATTCAATAATTAAGCAGCTTTTATAATAAAATGCATTAAGAGAGAGAGTAAAATTGTATAGCTCCTTAACAAAATGAAACTAAAGACTCTTTTTTCCTATCTTATAATTAAATTGCTAATACTTTTGGGCTATTAATACCAGGTTTTTGAGGGGTAAAAAGGAAATGACAAGTCCATCACAGCATGAGATACACCTTGCCATCCCGCTTTCTCAGTGGCAGGTTGGGTGTAAAGCACATTTTCTGACCGCCAACTTTTCACTTGACCTCATTCGTATTAGGGATCAAAGCCCAGATGTTGGTAATGCATCTTAGTAGCACATCTTGTCCCTGGATGCATCTGTATTGATTTTGTCAGTTAGCTACAGCTGACAAGACACCTGATTTATTACCAGCAATGTAGAGAGCGCAGGGCACCGAGTCTCTTAACTCATCTGTGGCAGATTCCTTAAATCACAAAGTCCCAGTTTGATCAGCTGAACAGAGGACATTATTGAGGAAAGGGGAGGGTTGTTCAACAGAAAGCAAATTTCTCACATCATTTACCTGCTCATCCTCATTTGGCATTATGACAGAGCTTTAAAGGTGCGCTCCGCAAGATTTTTGAAATACAAATGAATAATTATTCAGTAGTTTTTATTTTATTTATATATGTATTTATTTATTTATATTTAATTTTTGCTTCTAAGCTAGACAGTAAAGAAAAACAAAAACAAAAACAAAGCAATAATTTGTGATTTTACCACTTTTTTTTTTTTTGGCCAAACAAGCAATGTCTTTTATTGACTCTTCACTACATATAAAAACCATGCCACAAGATTTTTGTACATTTGTAAAAAAAAAAATTTACAGCCTTTTTAGTGGGCTAAAATGTGAAATGATACATATTTACGGTGATTGATTCTGCCTTCTGTTCCAGTTTGTTCTTTGTGACCATAGATTTAAAAAGAATGGATGAGTCAAAGCATTAGTGTGAGGAAATGGACAATTTATTATAATTATTTAAAATGCATTGCTCAAATTTGAAGAGAATGAGTTTCCAAGGAAAGCGTACATGAAAATGGCTTGAACATAGCTTGTCCAAAGCACAGAGGAAAAAGGAAGAAAAAAAAAAGCCAAATTTGTTCTGGAATGCCCTTGCATCCATCTCACAGTGAATAATGCAATTGCTAGTTCAATATTATTACAGTCTTCTATCTGAGCTCAAAGCATCCTTGATTGAAAAGCACTTTGTAGCACAGAGGACATGGTGACAGTTAATGATGCCAGAGAAGTCATGAAGGTTTTAAATTAAAGATAAACTGAAAAAGCCCTGAACTACTGAGCCTTTTAATCTCATTTCCAAATGGGGATCTAGTCCCACAGCTTTCCGAAGCTTAAGATAATTGCCCATGTGATTTTGTCATATAGAAACAAATCCCTTTCAGACTGTCGGATACGCTATGCAAATCTAAAAATTGCCAAAGAGCCAGAAAAGAGAGAGAGAACAAAGGAGACAGAACAATTGGCAGATGTCTATACATTTTTTTTTCATGAAAGAAAAGGAAAATCCCCCCAAAATGTCATTGTTGCAGATAAAATCAGCTGTAATATTGTTCTAAACATGAAACCACAGACATATTGTTGATTATATATAACACAGACAGACTTGCACTGCATCGGTAAATTTGAAAACTGGCATGAACAGTTGCTATAGAAACATGAGATCACACACGCACGCACACGTCTGGTTTAATCCTTGCGGGGACTCTCCTTAGACGTAATGGTTTTTATACTGTACAAACCATATATTCTATCGCCCTACCCCAACCCTACACCTAAACCTACCCCACACAGAAAACTTTCTGCATTTTTACATTTCTCAAAAAACAAAAAAAATAATTCTGTATGATTTATAAGCTTGTTTCCCCATGGGGACCTCAATTTAGGTCCCCACGGTGGCATGAGTCCCCATGAGTCAGTGTGTATTCTAGTTTAAGTCCCCAGCGGGATAGAAAAACATGTGCACACACACACACACACACACAGAAGAGAATTCAACATTAACTGGGCTGAATTGTGCCAATGTGGAAAACTGGCAAGTGCTTTGTTTCTTGCCACATAAACCCATGCAGAAAACCACAAGGGATCAGATTTACTGACATACTTTTTAAAACGTCCATCGTTGGAATGTGTTATTTTCAAGTGTTATTTTCACCCTGATAATAAAACAATAGATTTCCATTATTCTAAACAGTTTTGCACTGCATGCTGACTGTTACAGCAATCAGCAAATCAGTGTAATTACAATTTATCACGCTTAAATTAAATTAAAACAATTGTAAATCATACCAGTTTTCAGAGAGCCACAACTACTGCAACATTTATTTATACTAGTAACACTACAATAAATTAATTAAAAAGTTAACAAATTATTAAACAAGTTAGTGTTCTTCCTGATGAGTTTTCTGCAAACAGAATATTTTTCTTCTTATTCAGTATGCCAATGGTCAGTCTGACAGTCTAGTTCGCTACATTAGCATGGCCAAGTATTCCTGTTGGCCCAGACTGTCCCTATATAGCAGATAGTCACAGAGATGGATACAGTCCTTTAGACTCTTCACTACATATAAAAACCATGCCACAAGATTTTTGTACATTTGTAAAAAAAAAAATTTACAGCCTTTTTAGTGGGCTAAAATGTGAAATGATACATATTTACGGTGATTGATTCTGCCTTCTGTTCCAGTTTGTTCTTTGTGACCATAGATTTAAAAAGAATGGATGAGTCAAAGCATTAGTGTGAGGAAATGGACAATTTATTATAATTATTTAAAATGCATTGCTCAAATTTGAAGAGAATGAGTTTCCAAGGAAAGCGTACATGAAAATGGCTTGAACATAGCTTGTCCAAAGCACAGAGGAAAAAGGAAGGAAAAAAAAAGCCAAATTTGTTCTGGAATGCCCTTGCATCCATCTCACAGTGAATAATGCAATTGCTAGTTCAATATTATTACAGTCTTCTATCTGAGCTCAAAGCATCCTTGATTGAAAAGCACTTTGTAGCACAGAGGACATGGTGACAGTTAATGATGCCAGAGAAGTCATGAAGGTTTTAAATTAAAGATAAACTGAAAAAGCCCTGAACTACTGAGCCTTTTAATCTCATTTCCAAATGGGGATCTAGTCCCACAGCTTTCCGAAGCTTAAGATAATTGCCCATGTGATTTTGTCATATAGAAACAAATCCCTTTCAGACTGTCGGATACGCTATGCAAATCTAAAAATTGCCAAAGAGCCAGAAAAGAGAGAGAGAACAAAGGAGACAGAACAATTGGCAGATGTCTATACATTTTTTTTTCATGAAAGAAAAGGAAAATCCCCCCAAAATGTCATTGTTGCAGATAAAATCAGCTGTAATATTGTTCTAAACATGAAACCACAGACATATTGTTGATTATATATAACACAGACAGACTTGCACTGCATCGGTAAATTTGAAAACTGGCATGAACAGTTGCTATAGAAACATGAGATCACACACGCACGCACACGTCTGGTTTAATCCTTGCGGGGACTCTCCTTAGACGTAATGGTTTTTATACTGTACAAACCATATATTCTATCGCCCTACCCCAACCCTACACCTAAACCTACCCCACACAGAAAACTTTCTGCATTTTTACATTTCTCAAAAAACAAAAAAAATAATTCTGTATGATTTATAAGCTTGTTTCCCCATGGGGACCTCAATTTAGGTCCCCACGGTGGCATGAGTCCCCATGAGTCAGTGTGTATTCTAGTTTAAGTCCCCAGCGGGATAGAAAAACATGTGCACACACACACACACACACACAGAAGAGAATTCAACATTAACTGGGCTGAATTGTGCCAATGTGGAAAACTGGCAAGTGCTTTGTTTCTTGCCACATAAACCCATGCAGAAAACCACAAGGGATCAGATTTACTGACATACTTTTTAAAACGTCCATCGTTGGAATGTGTTATTTTCAAGTGTTATTTTCAC